AACCAGCGTTAATGCTTCTGTTGTTTAGATGACATAGATGCCCTTTTCGAGCTAAGCTCTTCTTCTTCCGGGTCTGAAGACGACGACCGTGATATTGACATCACACTTGATAGCGATTCGAGTGATACGTTGCAGGAGCTTCTGGACGAAATTGGTTCGTGCTTTATTGCGAAAAATTATCGTATATGACTATAGTTTAGCTGTTTTTGATACTTCGGACAGATACAAGCCGGGCCTCCAAGAGAAAAAGTCGTCTGCACCAACTAACAACACCTACCAAACGACGACGGCACGCTGAAAGTGACGGCTCTGGCGAGGACAGTGTCGCGGAAACTATTTGTTTGGCGTCAGCAGATAATGGACAGGGCAAAGACACAAACATAGCCGCCCAAGATCCTAATGTCGACCGAACACCAAGGGTCAGACGCACCAAGTCGTATCCCGAACGTTTGGCAATGGAAACGTCCCGTGTGAGCTTTGTAAACAAAGTTCCGCCGATGCGACAGCTCGAGTTTTCGACATGGACCGAGTTCGGTGATGTTATGGAGAAATATTGCAGCGAACACTTCCTACTATTCAGGGCCCGAGACTCACAGACGGTGAAAAAACACAATACGTAAATAAGATTTATAATATAATTTAATACTTTTAGTTAAAACGTCTTCTTGGTCGTAAAACGAGAATCGACCGAACGATCGCTGGCTTGCTTCAGAACCAAGTGAACATTGTGAATCACTTGTTGTCGTCTATCCGAAGAACTTCCACACAGTCCCGTCCTGTTCAAACCATTCCTTTTTTTTTTGCAGCGCGTTGCGGGCCATCTTTCGAACGATACGCTGGCGAAAGTTTTGTCTCAATGGGACCTGTTCATGGTGAACAAATCTGAGGCCACCTGTACGCAAATAGGACCTACTCAAGCGGAATGGAAAGTGTATTGAGCTGGACAAGAAACCATAGTAGACGATACTTTATGGTCGTGCAGTTGCCTGTTTTACAAGAGCCGGCGACTTCCTTTGCCAGCATATCATGACGGTTGCCAGCAAAGGACATGAATTCATCTCGCTACCTGCGCTAGTAGTGCCCGCACGATGGAGTATGAAAACAACTGAAGAACTTTACGACACACTGGAAAAGGGTTTGGAGTCTGTTCGCCAAGTGATTAATATGGTGAAGGCTCGACCGATGAACTTAAGGGCGCCCAAAGCCCTTCCTGCACCCTTAAAAAGCAGCTTCACCTCCAAAGCGCGAGTCGGAAAGCGTTGTGTGGAGTATGTTCGTCTTCGACGCCAAGAGGAAGGTAATATGGTCGTGCTTCCAGGTGCTGAGAAGTATGCAAGGGCCCAAGCTCTATTCGGACCAGTAATTGAGAAGCTGAGTGGGTTATCTACCTTTGAATTCTACGAGCAGATGAACAATTGGAAGTCTTTCACCGAAAAACAACTTGGTGATTGTGCTGAGAACACATCCTCAACTGGTGCAGATTCTCCTTTTACTGAAGCTGACAGCGATTCTGACAGTATCTTTGATCCGCTAGACATCGCAGATGTGATGGCCGAAATGCAGGCCGATCAGGAATTGGGAATGGAGGGTGAGTCATTGGCGGTGTTGACACGAGAACGAAAATTTGCGAATGGCGAGCCTTCTCATCCTCCGTCGGAAGAGTCCGAACTTGAAGCCACCCAATTATCCGAAACACCAAAAGAAGACAAAACAAATGTTTGGCGAGATACACACGAAAAGTCTATTTCGAACAGCAATGCTTTGGAATGTAGCAAAGGCCGCCGCTGTGAGGACCGGTTAAACGAAAACCAAAGTGTAATGACCCAACCACTGAATTCCCGCCGTGTTGAAGTGATAAAACTTCCAGATCCGAAGCCTCGTACCCGAATAAAGACAAGACAGGGGTGGATTGCCAAGCAACCCAAGTTGGCTGTTGTTCTGCTTTCATCGAAGGTTACTGTATCGCTGACCCAGATCATCCAGTGGGCTAAATATTTATTGAATGTGGAGAAGGTGTCAAACGTGCTCGACCAGTATCCTGTTCGCATGGATGACAAGTTTCTACAAGCCCGTCCTGTTACGTGCAAAGTTGCCGATGAAACCAGTGGTGACATCACAAATGACCATGCATTTGGCATACCTGCCTCTCTCTTGAAGAAAGCGTCTGCTGCAATAATCTTAAAACGCGAGGAGCTGCAAGCGGCAAATCAAGAAGCTCCGTGGGGTATGCTGGTCTCATTTGGCTCAGAAAATCTCGTTCTACACAGGTGGGTATTTTTTAATATGGATGGGTTAAGGGCGCCCTTAATGTGTCGCCCTACATGTGCTAAGGGTACTTTTAGAGAAATAAGGTTGCACCAATTTACACAAACACTACTAACCCCTTTTTGTATGGAACTTACAGCATTTTGTTAAACAGAATTGAGAATTTTTACGTACTCAAGGCAAAGGCCAGGGGATTTATCGACGATGTCAAGTGGCTGAACCAAGATTGGCGCCTTGTTCAAGCCCATCCAGTCGAACCTTTTTCCTTGGAGGTTAAAACAAGTGGACTACTACATTCAGAAACTGCAAAGGTTCACCAAGCTTTGGCTGAAGACGTGCGTCATAGATATTCAAACGGTTCGCTGATGACGATTTTGAAGAGCAAGTCGGGGTCCGCTTTCGTTAATTTTATGGATGTAGCTGCCATAATTCCTCGCAACGCAATGATGAACGACGCAGTAATCGGGATGGGGATACAGATGATCACTGAAACGGTTAAAGGAGCTGTTGGTTTGTCTTCGGTGCTGATATGGCCAAACCAGCCAAAACAGTGACTATCGGAGACACCATTCGTGATTCTGCCATTGAATGTGGATAGTATTCACTGGGGTGTTATCATCGTGGAGGTAGCGTTTCCAACAACATTACGCGTACATTTTTACGAGCCTTTGCATCAACGATGTTATCGAAGAGCGATGAAAAATGCCTGGGAAAACACGTTGATGTCATATTTGGAAAAATGGCACACAGGAAGTGGGGCCAAGGAGCAATTTCCCAAAGAAATTCAAAAAAAGTAGATTGACGAGCCTTCTCAGCCCGATGGTACAAGCTGTGGACTTCTGATGTTGGGAATGGTTTACGCTTTCTTGCGCAACGCCCATAGGTTTGAGCGTCATCGTATCACGGAGGCCTACGTAAGAGTGATGCGGCTGAGGTTGACGTGGCTGCTGCTGTGTACAACAAATCCTGCCCTACGGAATGAAGAGGAGTTTAAAAAAATGCAGAAGACGGATGAAGAAGTTGCTAAGTTTACACGACAATGATCAGGCGTTTCAATGCTCGAGGTACTGCTTCACGCGAAGAGATTGCTCATTACTATAAGAATAAGAATAAAAAGTTAAACGTTTTGGTTGAGAAGAGCTTACCAACATAGAATTCAGCATCCACTTCACTGAGCAGGAGGGTAATTCATAAGAACTCTAATAACACGCCCCAGCACCATCCCATACGACGACAGAAAACCGCTCGGAGTTGGAACCTCTCCGATGCTTGCATACAGCTCATTGATGATCTCTGCCTCGCGAAGCAACATTGCTTCGAGCTATTCGCGAGCGTACAGCACGTCATTGAGCGCCTCCATCATCTTCTCCATCTTGTCGTGTATCTCTTGCAGAGCCTGTGATCTTGAACGCAGCAATTCACGCGCCAAACCTTGTTGATCCATAGCAATTACCTTTTTCTTTGTTTGCTGTTTTGGAAAAGAGATCAGACGAGGTTATTGTAAATGTTGTAGCATCATTTTATTTTCGTAAAACTTCGCCTCTATCGGCATATTTTGTGGTATTTTATTATCATTATTAAGGGCGCACTTCAGTGTTAATGGTGCTTCACTGCAATAAAGGTGCTTCAAGGCTGTCGTATTGTCATAACGTTAGGGTGCTCTAACGCCATTCGACGAACACGGTAAGAGATCTTAGGATCTAATATCGAGTTGCTGGATGAAGGTTAACGACTAGTGAGCAGCAGGCACGCAGTGCACATGTAGGGTAGGATCAGTAGCTAATTTGCGGATAAACGAGTAGGTCGCCGTACGGTCTGGTGCGGGGCTGAAGCAGACAACCCGCGTGTCAAATAGACGTTGGCTTGCTAGCCGAAGTAGTCAAAGCCCCCAGGAGGTGTGGGAGAGTTGGTTCAAGTCCCACGAGCAGACGCGGTTCGAGTCCGTTTATCGAGCGGTGAGTAGCTAACGAGGGTTCAAGTCCCCGGTTTGAGCCCAGAGCGCCTCGCCTCGACTGCTCAGAGAGTCTGATCCTCCTGGAAGTAGAGCTTAGCCGCTGCACTGCACCCGGAAAGAAGCTGTCGATCGCGTGCATATTGCGTGAATAGGATTGCATATATAGGTGAGCGACAGCTGTGACCACCGGCACCGATCCTTGGCCAGGAAACGGACTGGAGTGAGGTGTGCGGAGGTGACTGCAGAGAACAACGAGTGATACGTCCGTGACGAACACGTGAAAGAGCTCGCGAACATAAGAGAGAGCTTACTTGGTGGTCATACAGGGGCTTTCCAGACGAGGGACACCGGAGTGGTTTAAGTTCCCAACGAAGCTTAGCCCAGAGGCGCGAATCCGCCGCCGAACTGCTATCGAAGAAGCCGTGGGCGTACTCTTAATTCGAAGTACTGCACGTGTCCGGCGAGACACGAGTCCATAGCTACAGAGGTGGCAGACGTTATTGAGGTGTGAAGTGCAGCTGCAGTGAGCGTGCTCTTAACTCGAAGTACTGTACGTATCCGGCGAGATACGGGTTCACAGCGGCAGCAGGGAACACCAATCGCAGCAGATGTCGAGAGAGAGAGAGAGAAAGAGAGAGAGAGAGAGAGAGAGAGAGAGAGAGAGAGAGAGAAAGAGAGAGAGAGAGAGAAAGAGAGAGAGAGAGAGAGAGAGAGAGAGAGAGAGAGAGAGAGAGAGAGAAAGAAGAAAAGCGACTAAAAGAAATAACACTTCGTTGATCCACGGGGTAGTAGCAGTAGTAGATCAAGAAGCAGGCAAGATGCCAGCAGTCTCTAGAAGGGCGAGCCAATCCGGGACAGGAGGATGCCGACACAAAAGAAAGCGCGCCAGACCAGGACGCACTTGAGAATAAGAACCAATGACGATGAAAGTGACGAGGAAGAAGTACACGTAAGCAGCGGAGTGACCATATCCGTCGCTGACGACGAACTGCCCGAGGCGTCGAGCGAGGGAGAGGTCAACAACCAAGCTCGCGACGGTCACGATGATGGAAGGCGTAGAGTTCATCATGGGTCCGGTAGGCGTGGCAACGAAGATGATGGTGGTAGCGATGGTCGACGACGAGGTGGCAACACCCCAAGAAGAAGCAGCAGGGACGATGACTCTGGCGGACGAGAAGGCGACAACAATGGGCAGCTTGATGAAATTGGAAGTGTACAGTGGCAGCCGAGCCAACGACGTGTGCCGTCAAACCAGATGCAGCACGACGATGACGCCGCGCAGCCCGACAGCAATAACGACAAAAACATGGGCTGGTGGGACACCTTGATGCCAGATCAGCAGCGACACTTGGCGAAGAGGCTGTTCAACCAAGCGCCAGCAGCAACAGCACTGTTCACTGTCGTGGTGCAGGCACCAGAGCTGTCAGCCCCGCGCCGGCCCAAGATGAAGACTTTGAACTTGACAGACTTCAAGGGGTAGCCGAGCGAGTCTGTGGAGGCCTGGCTGGCGACAATTCCCCAAGAAGTGGAGCGGCAACTTAGTCTCGGAGGCGACACTTGGTCCGCGCTCGAGCTTTTTTACGGAGCGACAGCCTACCTGAAAGAAGATGCCAGTGAGTGGTTAATTACGCTAAGAGAAATCATGCATGAGGAAGATAAGAACTTGGCGTACCTGGTCAAGATGATGAGGAAAAAGTTTGGGCGACGAGAGAGTATGTTCCGCGCGCAGCAGCGCTTGGCAGCTCGGCGACAGATGCCGGGCGAACGACTAGTCGATTATGCTCGCCAGCTTACGCGCATCGGGTTCGAGACGAGGGTACCTGCTGAATATTACGTGGACGCTTTTATCAATGGCCTCAATAATGAGAACGTCGCCATGATAATACAAACCTGCAACCCGACCACGCTGGACGAGGCAGTGCAGTTCGCCTGCGACAAGTGCGGTGAATATGGAGAAGGCCCGACGGTGACGGACTGGCGAGTGGCAAAACGGCGGTATCGCGAGGACGACTGCGGCGCTGACGAGGACGCACAGCCCGCCAGGAAGAAGATCGTTGGGACAGATGCAATGGATTCTCTGGACTGGAAGAAACTGGGACTAGGATTCGGTGGCACCAATACCTCACCTATGTATGACGAGGGCGGCAGAGTCGTCAGCAGATTAGAGGAGACGGCCAAGAAAGACCTGCTCTCTATGGCAGCTCTTCGAGCGATGTTGATGGTAGCAGGAGCTGAACGAGACCAGTCTACGACGGCGAGTACCAAGGTCAAAATCGCCCGGACGCTTGAGGTGAGCGGCGAGAGTTTGGCGGAGGAAGAAAAGGCGCCTGCGTCAAGCCAGCAGCGGCAGACAGAGACCCAGCAGCAGCCCAACAGCTATGAAAACGGCTATGGTTATAACTACGGAGGTAACTATAATAGTGGATACAGCACCAGCTATTGAGGACGCAGTGGGGGGCGAAGTGATGACCGTGGTCGCGGATATGGGGCGGTGGAGACGGACTCGAACGCTATGGACCACTCTAATCGCAAGATAGACGTCGATCATGGAGCGGAAGAAGCAGTCCGCGTGTCATTACTGCGGCCAACAAGGGCATTGGCTTCGGCAATGCGCGCAGCGGATCGAGGACGAGAAGCCACAAGGCACGGTCTATTTGCGACAATCACAGGGAAATCCAGCAGAGGCAACAGCAGGAGGTGGCACGACTTCAACTTCATCAACTTCTGCTGCGGGAAATGGATAGTGGCAGTAGAGGCGGGGACTCTGCTGTCCGCGGAACCTGACTCCGTGGGCGACTTGAACACCATAGCGTCCAAGAAGACGAGAACGAGGAAACGGAAGAAAGGCTGACAGCGAGTGATGGTGGCGGCTAGTGCAGCAGGAGGTATGGCGGCATCTTGTACCGAAGGTGGTCTGCCCAAGGGGAAGAGTGGCGACGTACACCAGTTGAAGCTCAGGAGGAGGCATTCGTGTACTCAGAGCGTGGCTCAGCCGAAACCCGTACTGATCTACCCGGATTATAGACTACCGTTCAAACTAACCACGGATGCCCGCCGCCCTGTGGGGACTACGCAGCAGCATGGTCGGAGTAGGGTCAGAGAGCAGCAGCACGAAGACACACGGAGGAGATCAGCGCGACGACCACCACAGTACAGAAGCTGGATGTAATCAAGGCAAACACACGGAATCAGTCGTCAAGATCAAGACGGCGAGCAACCACGGCAAGCAGTACACGCGTATGTCGATCCAGCCGACGAAGAAGCGTGCATTAACGTGTTGCTGGACGAGGACGGTGAGGGACAGACACTCTCGTGGGCAACCGCTCGAGGCTTTCGCAACTTGGCCCCGACGCCGTCGTCGTTGAATGCCGCAGATGACTATTTCGAATGTGCACCGGTCGTTATGTAATGGAATTCGAAGTACAGTGTGTGGAAATCGACCTGACGGCCGAGGGCCTGAGAAGCTCAGGATCAACCGCTTAGACTACGAGAAACGTGGCGGGCTGGTCGCATCAGAAGTGATTATGCCCAAGAGGAAAGCAGCGCGAATGAGCGCACCAGTGCCACGGTGGTAGCAGACTCGGCGAGGTAAGGGCCACCAACCGAACGACGACGAGGATGCCAGCAAGAGATACAACAGCGAGGACGGCAGCGAATAGAACGACAGTGAAGACAACAGCAGGAACTAAGGCGGCCAGGACGACAGCAGGACCAGCGGCGAGGACGACAGCGGAACAAGTAGAAAGAACGAGACAAGCACGAGTCGGGGACGACTCGTTGACCAGGGGAAGAGAGCAAGCCGAATGAAGTTCTTGTGTGCCTGAGCCCAAGAAACCGACGACCGAGGAAGTGGTGATGTCGTGGCGGTTACGGACGCCATGCGACGCCATTTCTCAACGGGCAACCAAGCCATTCAGAAGAGTGACGAACACTGTAAGAGATCTTAGGATCTAATATCGAGTTGCTGGATGAAGGTTAACGACTAGTGAGCAGCAGGCACGCAGTGCACATGTAAGGTAGGATCAGTAGCTAATTTGCGGATAAACGAGTAGGTCGCCGTACGGTCTTGTGCGGGGCTGAAGCAGACAACTCGCGTGTCAAATAGACGTTGGCTTGCTAGCCGAAGTAGTCAAAGCCCCCAGGAGGTGTGGGAGAGTTGGTTCAAGTCCCACGAGCAGACGCGGTTCGAGTCCGTTTATCGAGCGGTGAGTAGCTAACGAGGGTTCAAGTCCCCGGTTTGAGTCCAGAGCGCCCCGCCTCGACTGCTCAGAGAGTCTGATCCTCCTGGAAGTAGAGCGTAGCCGCTGCACTGCACCCGGAAAGAAGCTGTCGATCGCGTGCATATTGCGTGAATAGGATTGCATATATAGGTGAGCGACAGCTGTGACCACCGGCACCGATCCTTGGCCAGGAAACGGACTGGAGTGAAGTGTGCGGAGGTGACTGCAGAGAACAACGAGTGATACGTCCGTGGCCAACACGTGAAAGAGCTCGCGAACATAAGAGAGAGCTTACTCAATTGTGTACACCCCGATGCAACTACTTTGAGCTCTAGATCATTTAATCGCCCACAGAAACTCAGTACATAGACAGCCAAAATACACATGTTTAATCTTATAAAGGTTTTCGTATTGGGACGATGGTGGCCGTAAATTGTGTCCAGCCTGACAAATCTCTTTTTTGTATGTGAGCCTCCCTATAACATGCAAAACCGCGAGCGTTAGCACATCCTTGCTATTTTGAAGCATGTTTTGCAGCTTGTGTGAAGACCGCACCGTCAAATAAAAATTGACTAAGTTATGGGCACTCGACGAGGTGGCCGTATACATGTAATTGTGTCCAGGAGTGTAGTAGCCACCCCCTTGCAACTGGAAAATATAAAACAGACTTAATGTCTAAGATTGAGTGGGCAAGCTCGTTAGACATTCTGTATGATGCTATGTTCATGTTGCATGAACAAGGTGGTCTTCTTGATGAGGTCAAACCACAACTACGCCCACAAAATCTTATCGAAGAGAAGCGTATTAACAACACCGTTAATCTATTCTATAGCATTATGGATGCTCATGGTGTTAAGAAGTTTAAATTCCCTAAACTAAAAAACTCTGATGATGAAATTGATGAATTCAGAAGCAAGCGGGAGGCTATATCTAAACCGAAAAATAAGAAAAAAAAATATGAGAAGGTAAGCGGACGTGGACTGATGGGAGCCGGCGTGGCAGAGCTACTATTGTACTGACAAGATGCAACCCAACACCATTTTTTTGTTTTGCCCATCAATACAAAAGTAATTATCGGATTAATGCCGGCAGACCCGCAATGGAAACAGGATAGCACAGAGATCACAGACAAACACACATTGTTTGACTTTCTTGTCTTTTATTAAAATGGTGGACGCTCAAACGTCTGCGGGAAATTGATGCTGATCATGCATGCACAGAACATTTCTTGCGATATTTAATAAACAAAGAAGCGTAAAGTGTCAAGCTTTACGCCAGAATGCAGCTTAGAATGCAACGCATCTGCAGGAGTTAGTTTTAGCTACAGGAGCAGCGTAGGGATTGCTGCATGCAGTGCTAAACGCATCGCCGACAGCCCCACTTCCTAGGATCAAATGTGCATAGAAATGAGTAAAAAGGGCATTGTTGATTGTAATACTAAAGTTTGTAAGGACCAAAACATATGTCAAGAACATAGCCTCGATTTTTTAAGCGGAACGAAAGACACGCACTTTTCGATTAAGTGTAGCATGTGCATTTGAGCAGATATTCAAGGATGATTATGACTACTTAAGAGAAGAAATCGTTATCTTTCCAACAAAAAAAAAGCTCATATAAATTGGGTAATTGGGTGAGAAGTTGTGAAGGGGCAATGTTTGGTGTTGGGTTTCATCTTGCCAGTACAATAGACGCAAAGGTCAGACATATAACCTAAACGATATTCAGAACTTAGCTACTCCATCAGCATACATCTACCGCAAGCTTGGTTCCAAGTTCATTCGACTATCTGATCATGATAAGACGACACTGACAATCTGCCAGCCAAATCGACGAAAATGTGGTTTGATGCGAGAGATCAGCGACTCTCTACAAAGCATGATCAAGAATCTTGTATTCAACAGCGAATTGAGTCAAGATAAATACGATAAACTATCGTTAGACGATAAGAAGCTACTTCCTCTGTCCGAAAATATAAGCGGGGCATCTGTTTAAACCGTGTCCGAAAATAAAAGCGGTGTGCTTACAAATTCAAGTCATTTGATAGTACTGTCGGATTCCACCTAATACGCCCATACAAATGCTGTTGTTGTTGTCGGCCGCTGCAAACCAGACCGTAGAAATATTTAGGCGCTCTACGTGGCACCGTTCAACAGAGAATCATACGCACTACATCTCTACAGGTTTCTATGACATTTCGTGTAAAATTGACATCCCGGCGAAAGATTTTCAAATTTCACATCTTCATTACAAACTTTGCATAACGATAACTTTGCGACCAGGTGGCCGATTTGCTTCAAACGTCGACCAAAACAATTGCCGTAATCTAACCAGCAATTAAGACCAATCAGC